GGGTTGCAAGATACAGGTTTGAACCTCCTCAGGCTGAGGAAAGCCTAAATCCCAAGAATCCCACTTCTTTTAGTCTTTAGCTTTATCTAAGGTGGGCAGAGCAGCCCCATCACCTGGCTCCTCAGTCCATGTTTTTACAGAAAGCAGCCACAGCTGCAAGGCTAATCCTGCCAGTGTTTAAGTGTGTTCTGGGGCTGCAGATCAGATTGGCCCTCTAAGGGGAGTTAAGTAAGAGAAAAGCACATAGCTTTTCATCCAGGAACAGTTTTGGGAACGAGTACAGGGAGAACCGTAGGTGCCCAGGGAACTTTCAGACTACACAAGAAGATGCCTAATCAATTTAGGCATCTCCAGTGTTAGGCAGCAGTTCAGGGGGTGAGCGGGGGGAGAGGTGGTTAGGACTACAGTTTTGGACTTCGGTATCCATGTACAGAAGCCCCATACAAGACCCATGTTTTACTTAAATCCCAATTAAATCTGAAGGGATAAATCCTTTCATAGTGTTAATTAACTGGTACATGTGGCTTGGGCAGGCCCACTACGTGGGGAAAATTTCACCCACAGAACATATGGTTTTTGACTCAGAGAAGATTAGCCATATAGTTTCTTACCTTAAAGCAGTTTTTGAATCTTTTGCTCACCAAATACAGAGCTATCGGATTAATGCAGGAATTCAGCGTAGCCATATTAATACCGATGTAGTCCATTATGAGAAAAAAGCTGTGTGGAAAATTAAAATAAATAAGATTGACAGCCATGGTGGCAAGTGTTGGCTTTGCTCAGTTTGCCAAGGCCTGCTACCATATAATAGGAAAAATGGTGCCTATGGCATTGAGACTACTGATAGGTGTGAACTACAGGATGGTTCTCAGAAGGATCAAGGGGATTTGGACCATTTGAGTAGAGGCTCTATACCCCTAGCACAGCGTATCACCTCTTGATAACACAACTGCCATGAAACTGTCCTATGAGGACTGCTGCAAACAGGATTCTCACTGAAGAAATACAGTACTACCTTGGATTGCACTGTCTTTCTGCTCTGAATTACTTGAAGACAGATAGAGGGTAATGTGTACCTTCCTGAACCCTGCCCTAGCTCCCTCTGCTTCTCAGCATGGATCCATGAGCTGGTAAAATATCTGCTGGTTCCTGGAGGAAGGTCTGGAGTTGGACAGAAACACTACTTTTGAGGCAGACTCAGTATCTAACTTTGAATTAAGTAAAGGATTGTATTTATCATTAGATCACAGGAGCATTCCAATTTCCTCCTCTCTCAGAGTCCATCAATCCCAAATAGTAGTTGATGGTGAAGTACAGTCCAGGAAAGACTGAGGTTCAAACCTGGCTCCTAGTTTTTAGTTGTCCTGAGAGAAGATTGTGTTTCATGTTCCTCAGATGTGATTTCCTACCTTTCTCAAATGTGAGAAGCTCACTATTTACAATTCATATTTCTATAACAACTCTCATCATATATGGGTATTTTCTTAATACCATATTCACAAATGAATATGCTTTTTAGGCCTCATGATTATGTAGAAAAGCTCAAAATCATAATACTTGTGCATCCCAAAGAGTTAAACCCAAATGCAGAAAACAAAGCCAAACAACTGTTTTCAGACAAATCTCATTATGTTTAGGCCAGTCTCTTGATTCTGGGGGTTCTGATTCTGATTAATAATATATAGAAGCAGAGGATTAGAAATACTGGAGCTCTATCCAAGTCTTCCTGAACTGAGAGGGAAAAAGGTGGCACAAGTAGGGCCCTATTCAAACAGTATTTTCAGCTACAAGAAAATGAAGCATAAAAATATGCTTGGGAAAAAAGTGAACACTGCTTGAGAATTTTCATTGCAAGCCTGCTATCTTATTTCGCCCAAACCCTCTTACCTTAAAAGTTCACATCTATTCGGGTCTCTTTGATCATAAATAGTGAGCTTCAGAATCCTACTTAAGTGAAGAGGGAGCCAGCACAGGCCAAAGACCACTACCAGACAGAACACAGTTTTGGCCACTTCACGCCTCTGAAAATAAAATCAAAAGGAACCAGATTAAAAAAAATCTTGTTATTGATCTTGTTCTCTTTTTAAATCAAAATATTCAAGACTATACAACAATGAGTACCAATAACACAGTTTGGTGATGTTCAGTAAATTTTTTAAAAATATGATTCATTTTCAGATGTTTCTATTTTAGATGTTCTGAACAAATTCTTCATAAAAATGAATAACTTTTGGGGAGTAAAATCTAAGATACAGTCCCAGATACTTCCTGAATTAAAAGTGGTTTCCATCACTTCTGGTTCTAGTTAGTCACTTTAATGACTAATTAAGAGGTAATTAGCTCTGTTGACAATGTTGCACTTAAGTATTCACAAAACTAGCAGAAGAGCTCATTTGTACAGCTGTCTTCATTTGGCACTGTGCCAGGGTAAATTAACAATTTTGGAGGTGGCTGTATTGCTTCTGCTTTAGGAGGTAGTCCACAGCTATTCCCACTTGGTTCCAACTGCATATTTCTTTTTGGTTTGACCTAAGGTCTAGTTTTAAATATCTCAAAAGACATACATTACATATATTAATAGAGAAGATTTTTGCTAATTTATTGTAATTACACTTCATATTAGTGAGCAAGCTAACAAAGAAGAGAGCAAAGATCACAGCTACACTTTACAAATATAGTTTAATATTAATACTTATGATAATCTGTCATGGCACATGAGTAAATTCATTAAATACATTTTGTTAATAATAAGACCTCATTACAACACTGCATTTTACTAGGTCTCAGTTTTATCACAAACCTTGGACAATTTTGGTGTTTTTCTTAAAGTATTGGCTTCTGCATTTATATAAATTACACTGCAATCTCAGGATTCATTTTTTTTAAATGTTTCTAAACCTCAGAGCGGCAGAGGATAACTTAGAAATGTCAATCTAAAGTCTCAAAGTCTATGAGATAAATAAAAAGAATTCAGAACCTAGGGCGCTGGTAGATGTGGGGAAAAACCCCCCAGTGCTTTACTGGGAGCAGCAATACATTACCTTCAAACTGGCTCTGCAGCGTCTGTATATATTGGGCACTTCAGCTGGGCTTTTTGGTGTTTTATCAAAAGCTGATTCAATCAGTTATTAGATAAGCATGCCAAAAAGCCTCACTAAAGCACCCAGTCTATACAGATGTTGGGAAAGCTGGGTCCAATTAACACAATGGCTCTTCTGGACATGTACTGGGCTTGGCAAGGGAGTGTGCTGAGTTTAAAATGCCATATTTTTTCTTTCCATGTCTGGAAGCAGCCTTATTGTAAAAGTCTTTTGATTTTCAAGCCTCACAATTTTGGAGGTGCTAGTTTATGATTTGTGACGACTTGGCATTGCTACTGCTAATGAACTACTAAGTAGCACACTAGACAGCTATTTTAGTGAACATGAATGGTGTAGTAAATGGGTTAGTAAAGATCTTACTATTTCATCAGTTATTTAGCACTACTTGTATGTACATAACATTACCTGTTTTAAGTGGTCATTTAATGCAATTTGCATTCCACTTTTCTTTTTAAGCATCTCACAGGTCATCAGGGTATAGAAAAATGCTGTGATGGCCAATGGCAAACAAAAATAAAAGCTGAACAGCCACCAATCTTTAGCTATCTTGTAAAACTGGAAAAGATAGTTAAGAGTTCAGTTTTGTGTGTAATATAGACAACATTTACATTCTAACAATGTGCAGCATTTAGCATGCCTTACATAAGTAATCAATCAATCCACATAACATCTCTGAGTTATAAAAGCATTATTACCCATTTTACAATAGGAAACAGAGAAGTTAAACAGCTTTCTTAAAGCTAAACAACAAGACTGCAACAGGTTTTTTATAACTTTCTATTCACCATTGCATTTTATAGTATCGTAAGTAATGACAAAAAAGTCTTACACAGAACTCTTTAGACTTTTGAGAAAACTACATTAAGTTTTTAGGAAAAATTGGTTTAAAGGAAGAATGTCTTACCTGCATAAAAGATGTTTTTTGTATGGGGTGAAGCAGACAGACTCTAAAATGCTTTCCTTTATAGTCCATGGAAATCATATCAAAGCCTATAGCTTCTGGAACAGCTAATACCACTGAGACAACCCAGATCAATACAATTTCAACAGCAGTCCACTTTGGCACTCCAATTCCCTTGATGCGACTCCAAGAAGCAACTGCACGATACCTAAATATCCACAATAGATGTTTATTAGATTAGAGGGCTAAATTATGTTTTGTGTTAAACTGGTGTGAGCTCAACTGAGAGCAACTGAATCAAATGGAAAAACTGACTTCACATGTGTATTTTGTGTTTCAAAAGATTATTAAAATACAATACAGAGGGTGGGAAAACAGAATGGCTCTTACCTATCAATACTGAGGGCACACAAACTTAACACTGTGATACCCACTGATGCCTTTTGAATGAAAGGAACCAGTTTACACATTTCAACTCCAAAAGGCCAGTCCTCCGCAAGGAGCTGAAAAGAGAAAATGATTTTCTTTTAATAATGGCATTTATGTAATATAAACATTTCTCTTAGATAATTTTCTCTTATGGTATTTAAGGCCCAGTCTGCCCCATCAGGAAGCAGAAATACACACTGGGTACATCTACACATGCACACTTACTGTGCAATAATTTAGTTTACTGAGCAGTAACCAAAAATTACTGTGCATTACAGGCACACGTCTACATGTGCGCGCCTGTACTGTGCAGTAACTATGGTGATGCCAACTTGGGTGTAAATTTGCTACCTGCATGATGCAGGTAGCAAATTTACGCCCAAGTAGTTACTGCACAGAAATGGACGTATAGATGCATTTCTGCACAGTAATACTGTGTGGGTGGGATGAATTGAGACTAACTTTATTCCCATGTCAGTCTACACACAGTGTTACTGAACTGTAATGCCTGCACATGTAGATGCTGGTCTAAAAGCCACTTACTGTGCAGTAAGTTACTGCTCAGTAAAGGAATGTGTAGACATGCCCACTGTAGACTAGATTTACAAGGCAGACAGACACAGTGCTGCATCTCAGTTCCATAGACAACACATGGGAGAGCTGTGTACATCACAAAGGGATCCACAACAACCAGCATACTGAGCATGGAGCTGTTTAAAAAAGCCCATAGAAAATGCTGGTGGGAAATGCCAACTCCAATGCAAGAGATGTCTATCTCTGACTTGGATTAATAACTCTGAATTCTCTTATAGAGTTAGGCACCTGTACCCCTTTTTAAAAAAAAAAGAAGGACAGATCAGTCTTTTTCTCCACAACTGGAAAAGAAGGTAGCAGTGGCATGAATATTTCAGCATTTAAGATTAAAAAGTCATTGAAGCAGGGGCCATAAACAAGGTCTCCCTCTCCCAGGTCTGTGCCATAACCACTAGACTAGAGCATGACTCTCTCTCTGGTTCCAAAATGTATTTTAAGTATTCCACACAAAGTGGTAAGGCTTCAACATAAGGAATAAGAGACTAGTTTAGAATGGCCTATAGAACAGAGGCTTAACTGACCATTACGGTGTCCTCAGCGGCACTCTGCCAACTCTCTTCTCACCCCTGCTCCGCACCCCCACCCTACAGCTTTCCTCTTTCAGCTCTGGCTCCAGCAGTGGGCAGTGCAGGAGGAGCAGCTGGAGGTTTGCTGCTTCCTTTTTTGCTGGCACGCATGTTGAGAGGACAAATACATCCCCTCTGTAGCAGAGAACCTCTGGCTCCTCCTCCTTCACTATGCACTGCCATTCCTTCTCTGCCCTCCCCACTGCCAGAACCAAAGCAGCCTCAGGGAATGTATAGGGTGCAAGGCGGAGGGAGAGGATAGAAAGTTAAGGCACCCCACCTAGCTCCATCTTGGTGCACCACCATTAGGAAGCGCCTAGGGGTTCATGCTTCTCTTGCCCACCCATCATTAGACTACTGCTATGGAACAACCCAGAACAGCCTATAGTGTCATGGTTAGGAAACTCTTCAAGCATATGATTTTTCAACTCCTCTCAGAGGAGATGGATTTAAACTGGTGTTTCACCTCCATGACAGTGCTCTGAGTTAGAACAATAACAGATGCAACAGTCATTTCTTTCTCTAGCTGCCATTGTTTGTATGCCTACATATGGTCAGGGCATATCTACTACACCTGGCTCTGCAAATGAGACAGGCATTGGCCATTGGCCTATTTTGTGAATTCAGATGGGGAGTAGACATGAGCTCAGCAGTCAGTGCTGTCCAAACTTAGGTGGTTATAGGAATGTGCAGTAGAAAAAACATAGGTACTTATAGGATTTTATCAACAGAAACTTTGGCACCTAAAAGATACTGAAAGGAAGAATCAGGGGCTTAAGTTCTTTTTGTGAATCAAGCCTTAAGGAGCTTTGGGTATTATTTCCAGTGCTGGCATCCATATGTTTAGGAAACATCAGACAGGTAAACCCCATGCAGAATTTCTGCCAGGCAACTCAAAGGCTTCCTCCCATTGGAAGGGTTGGTATGAGCTGTGTTTAGATGGCCTCTGCTGAATCCTTCCAGTAGTGGAACTGGCATAAGCCAGCAGTGAAGAACCGCAATGTTCATTATGGGCTCAGTGCTTATTGAATGGAGCCCTGAGGACCCATCCATTTTCCCTCTACTTTTAACATTTCCGCCTTAATTCTTGATGACAGCTATCCTTAGGGTGAAGGAAGTCTGAACTATTTGTCTTGGTCTTGCTTTTTCTGGCTTGAGAGCTTATTGCTTTTCCTCTTTTAAATGTTCCAAGCAACTCACAATTTACTAGAAACATAGGAAGTTATCCTGAGATGAATCAAAATGGATACAGTTTTGCTACCAGGTATTAGTGTTTTTTTGTGGTACTGTTTCACAGTGACTCCATATATAACAACACCAGAAAGATCTCATATGCACCACTTCCAAGATTACATGTAGAATAAAATAATAATGCATTGTTGTTCTGATTTTGTTTCAGTAGCTCCTCTGGGTCTCACACTTTAGGGAAAGTATCCTTCAATTAGTGGGAGAATTATTTAAGCAGACTGTTCATAATAAATTATGGGGCATTTCTGCTCAATGAAGAACTGGCCCATTGGATAAATAGCTCATGGGTTCAGATACATTTTCACCACTATTGAAACTGATGACTAGTGCTTTGCTGAATTGGAGCCATACAGTGTATAATAGGAGAAACAGCAAAGAAGCCTAACATCATGCTGCTCATTTCCTTGGTTAGCAACTCTGTAATACTTGTACAGTAATAAAATGGAAAAATACCTCTTAATCTGGTGATTTTATGTTTTTGAGTATTGTATAAAAGGGGTTAAAGTAGGGGTGGGCAATTATTTTGGCTGTCAGGCCACTCAACAATTTGTGGTCAGCTTTTGAGGGTCTCATACATAAAATCATAAAGGCTGCCTTCCACTCACCCAACAGCTCATCACACTGTGTGGCTGAGTGGGTGGAAGGCAGCCAGGAGCTGGAGCCCTGTGCACTGGGGCAAGGGCTGCCCAACTGCAGCTTTCCCCCTACCTAGCTGGGCGCATGGTGCCTGGCACACTCCCCACAGCCGCCACCGCCTACTTGTGCTACCTACTGCCTGGAGTGGCACAGCAGGGGAAGAAGGAAGAGGAGCTACTGGAGGCAGGAGGTTCTGTGTGCACTGGCTGGGGCTGGGACCAGGGTCAGGGCCAGAGTGGTACCATTGCAGGCATTGGGTGGGTGCAGGTGGTAGTGCGATATGGCATGGGCTGCCCCAGATGGGAGTGGGCAGGGCTTGGCTCCATGTGGAGTGCCGCGGGGGCAGCTGTGAGCCAGATAAAATCAACTGGAGGGTCAGATCCAGCCTGCAGGCCATATTTGCCCACCCCCAAGTTAAAGAATGAGTGGAAAGGATGAATATTTTACAGCTCATGGTAAATACACATGTATTTCTTTTCACACAATGTGGGGATATGACTCAGCCTTAGCAATTACAGTATTTGAGCATGTTTCTTGTGCAGATTGATTTCAGGATTTACAATAGTGGCCTCCACCATGAGACTTCTTTTAGGGGATGTTCTAATGAATGATGCCAACAAGCTACTAGAAAATGACAATGCATTCCTGCAGACAGTTACAGATATACTGAAAAGGTATCATGAATAAATAAATGGATAAGGGATTCATTTAAATTAAGCATCTACTGAATTTCTGGTCTACTGCACCGAAGTGCCACAGAATCTAGGAACCTTGCAAGTATACACAATTGCTGCAAAGTGCAAAAGACTGTTTGTAATAAGTGAAAAAATGAGGGAAAAATTATTTTCCCCTTTCCCCTTCCCCAAATCAATTTCAAAACACTAAGCAAAGTTTTTTATTGAAAGACCTTAATTTGGAATATGGTATGTATCTATGTACCACTTCCATTTACTAGCTAGAATTACAAATGTTTGTCCATCTATCTAACACCTTCTCCTACTAAAACTCCTGTGGTAAGGGACCAGTGCTTTTAAAACATGATAAGACCTCTACGTTTATGGTGTCCAGTGGCAGGCAATGATACAAACTGTAATGAAAAGTTTAAAATCCTAGGGGGCCAAGGGTCTATTATAAATCTGCACCAATTAAATAGATAAATACTGCAGACAATAATTTGTCAAAATATTAAAAATGTTGAGTAGTTCTTTTAAGTTTATATTATTTGTTGCATGTTTCTGCAGCTCTCTTCCAAACCTACTTCATATCTATGCTGCATAGGGGTACCATACATCTGGGTTTTTCCAGACATTTCCTCTTTTTGGGTCCTCCCATCACCATCTAGGTTGTTTTCTTAAACATCAACAATTTCTGAGATTTTGCTCTGCTCAGCATTGAAGTTTTCCCCTGCACTTCGCGGCCTGTCCTAGCAAGGAGCTGCTTGGGGCTGGGGAGAGTAGGGAAAAGCAACTGGAGGCAGGGGGTATCACATGCATCTGTGCACATACACACATGTGGCCAGCATGCAGCCAGGCAGGGTGGTGGGAGCAGCCCTGGCAGCTGCATGCAGGTAAATCGATGGGGGATGGGGGTTGGATGGCCAGGACTAGGGGAGTGTCTGGGGGGATGTGTGTGTGGGGGGATGTGTGGCAGAGTGTGTGGAGGGGATGGGCATGTGAGGGCAAGGGGTGGTGCCTGGTGGTGCTGGGGGAAGATGTTTGGATGCTGGGGCTACAGCAGAGCAAGGGAGGAGCCTACCCCTCCTGTGGGGGAGGCAGATTGCTGCAAGGCCAGGCTGGTGGCACTGGGGTCTGTGCCCTTACTTGCAAGGGCAGGGCAGCCAGGAGATGCTGCAGGGTAGGCAGCGCAGGGGGCTGGGGACCAGGAGTGAGGGGCGAAGGGGGTGGAAGGGCTGTGAGTCATGAACATATGGCACAGGCAGCGCCAGGGGGCTATGAGTCAGGAATGGGGGCAGCAGCTGTGGCTTGGGAGTGAGAGGCAGGGGCAGGACATGGGCATCACTGTGCCCCCAC